TTAACCTAAACTGAAGAGGCTTTCACTTGTTCTGTCAGGTGTCTTGCTGTAAGAACTGTCCATTGTAACTGTTCTTTCCCACTGATGGCTGAAGTTGTGTCCCGAGCACAAGATGGTATTTCTCATTGCTACGAAGCACCACGTTCCCCAACCCAAACACCTCACCGCCACCCGACCACCACCATCTTCAATCAGGAGGATTCTCCTTTCCTTCTTTCCCATCTGCAAGAAGGAGCTTGTGGTTGTTCCCTGCCATTTCTCCATTAGTGACGTCTGTCTCTTTATTTTCCCGCACCTCGCCTCCCGGTTGCTTTTCTGAATTGCTTGATGATGAGCCGTGGAGTGGATGCTTAGCGGCCTGTAAAACTTTTCTTAAAGGAACTGGGTCTGAGAAGCACATATACATGACCCTGGACAGCCTAAGGTATTGAGAAGAGGACACCACCACCGACCTTGGTAATCCCGTCACCTGGTTTCTCGCGGGGGACCTTGTAACTTCCACCAAACACTGCCAGCTTTTTAAATTTTAGATTCCATCCAGCCACCTAAATCAGACCACCTCTGACTTAGTATGATACCAATCTCTTTGGATGACCAGCTTTCAAAATAGATCATCTCTAGAGATTTATTGTCCCCTCTTTTAGAGAGAGGTTGTGGATTTTAAAAGAGCCTTTTAAAAAATTGATGAAAACCTACATTCCTAATGGATTTCCTACATGTGCCTTGGGAACATATTCTGGGTACATAGATTAAAGCTCTGGTTTCAACCCAAATAACAGGAGGCAAATCATGATAAATGAGTGGCATCTAGAAGCTTGCAGAGGAAGTCATTTTACTTGAGGGAATACTGGAGAAGTTTTGAAAAGAGAAATTGGGAAAACAATGTCCTCATTTTTTATCAATATTCTTATTCTCAAATATTTAAATATTTAACAAAGTGGCTGGATTACCATTTTTTAAATTACCAGATTTTTCTATTTCCCTCTTTTACAAGAAACAGACCGCTTACCTAGTTAAAAATTAGAGATTACCAATTTTTTGACCAATTTACAAAACAGGACATAACTAAGTGTTTGAAATGTCATTTTTACTACTTGAAAAACAGATTAGAAACTTTTTTCCTTTCCCAGAACTCTGCATTTGTTTTTAAACATTCAGCAGGAGCCCAGGAGGTAGATGGTCAATAGGAAGCTGTGCTCGGTCCCCAGGGGCCCCAAGGCTGGCAGTTGGCTGACTGGTACCCTGCTGTCCTCCCAGGGCATTTCAGTACCCCTGCTGAGGAGCTGGGAAAGACGATCTGCCAGTCCAGCCTCCCCAGGACCTGGGAGGAAGAATGATGAATGCATTTTAAACTAAAAGAGAGAGAAGAGCAAAGGCAGTTTCCAGGCTGGGTGATAAACTGAAATCCATAAATATAGCAGTGCTAATTTGAAGTTCTATAATTGTTTGTGCGACAGGAAAGTGTATATTAAAAAGGATTTTTAAAAAGCAATTACGGCAAATGCCTCCCTTGAGAGCATCCACAGTGGAGGTGTTGGCCACCCTGGGGCAACATAAGCTCAAATCCTTTCCTAGAGATCAGTGGGGGAGGAGTGGTCATGAAATTAGGGGGAAGAGGCGAAGGATTTTGGAGTTATTAACCTGAAATGGAACTGAATGCCTAAAAAATAAAAGCAGGGCACTTTCTGGAAGTAGGAAAAATATTTTTTGACACATTAGAAACTTCTAGAGGTTCAGGGTATACCTGATCTTTTCCAACTCATTTTAAACTTTCTACCTATTGCCTTAAAATCCAGGTGCTTCCTTCCAGAGTTCCCCCTAAATTATTTGCCTAGAGCTCCCTGAAGAAAGAAATTACCTTGTGTTAATTCGTTGTAAAGGAGAAGTGATGAACATTGAAAGGCGTTCGTCATTTCATTTAGTAGCACCACAGTTTCCTCCCCAGGTTGCCTGGGGCTGTGCCTTCAAAGCAGGTGACAGACTACAAGATCTGAACAAGCTTTGTAGTCCTGTACAGATCGGCTCGGGTGTGTCTTATCTAACGATAGGACCACGTGCATTGACTTTTTTATAAAATGGACTACTTCAGTGAACATTGATTCCATGTAGTTCCAATAACTCTGTGACCTTGGACATTGGCTTTCTTTAGCACCCTCTTCACAACTGCCCCGTGTGGACACCAGTTTGTACAGACTATTCTCCACACCCTGGCTCAAAGTCAAAAGAGAATTTTAATTACTCATCAAGCTGCCAAATTCTACTAATTGACCTTGTCAGCACATTTCATTCATTATTGAATATTAATGAGCGATTTTTTTTTTTTACTATGTCACCTGTAAAATTACAAAGCCTTGAGTAATTTTCTGTTACAAGGAGGGGAGGGGGCCTCTTCGCCATGACCCAAGCTCAAATTTGCAAAATTGAATGTCAGAGATTCGGACCTTTGCCTTCCTTAGTCTTGCTGATAGATTTCTAGTTCAGACTATTGGATGTTTATTGATTTATTGGTCTTACAGTTTAAGTACATCCACTGCCTCTCCTTTTGTAGACCCTGTGAATAGACACAAACCCCTCTCAGGAAATTGACCACCCTAATTTGGTCCTTCCCGTAGTGTGCATATTTCACATATAATGTAAGTGGTTGCACGCATCTTTAGGCTACAGGAGTGATATGCAATGATCGGTCACCCTGTCTGTGGGCCGGTCCTGAGCTGTCCCCTACCTGCCAAGGCCCAGAGGTGACCGTGACACTCACATTCAGCCTTCCACTTCCTGCCTCCAGTTAGTGCAGAGAGGGTTCTTCCCAATCTAACCGACTCTTCTTTGAAAGGTGTCGTGCCTTCCGGGCAGGTGACCTCTCCTGGAACCAGTCTGTCGCCTTAAGCTTTCCGGCTCAGCCTACTCCGTACCAGGCTCTCGGGTGGGACTTGGCCAGGGTGTTCGCACTTGTCCTTCGGAGGGTGGAAGAGGTTGTATCTGGATGTGTGACTTGGTTTTCCGGGTTGCCGTGTGGCACTTTGCTTTCTCTCTGTCGCGGGTGCTATCCGGGGCCCGTGGTTCCTGCTCCCTCGCAGCCCGCTCCCCCTTCAAGCTAGCCTCCTAACGACTTTTTATTCTTGCTCCAACTCTTTCAATGATGAGACGAATGCTTTTCTGTTCCACGTCACTGCCAACTCCCGGCCCAGCATGCTCTCACTTACAGCCGCCTCACCGGGTCTCACGCACAGTGCGAGCGCTGACGGTAAGCCCCAGGTTCTGCTCAGTGACTGGTGGATTACTAAAAAGGGACTCAGACGGCACCTCACAAATGCATGAAATGTTCTGATCTCTAGACAAACTGCCAGGATTTCTCTTTTCTATTCCTATTTGTAGTGATAACATTTTCCTTCTTGTGATTTTTTTTAAAAAAAGAGAATAGTGTAGTACCTTGCAACGATGCAGTTTTAATATGTTGTCACTCTTTCTATTTGACAGGTTCCAATTCTTTCACAATTATTGTATTCAGTTGTGCACTAGTGTCAATAAAATTGACATTTGTGAAGCGATTTCTGGCCTTTTTCTCCTGGGTTTACTGGGTCTGGTGGTGTGCGGGGTGACGGGGTCTCTACTAACACCAGGACTTCATTTCAGTGAGGTTTGTTTAAAATGGGAGGGTTTTTTAAAAAAAATTTTAATGCAGACTTCTTAAATCTGCCTTTTCCTTACATTTTCTAATCTTGTTATCCAAGGATCATTGGACTGACCGCTTGTCAGTGGGGTAGGACATCTACTCTTTGTTGTTTTCCAGATGCAGTGACACAGCTAACTGGTCAGCCTGGGAGCAGGGTGTGGGGGGAGGGGGACTCCCCTACAGTTCATTTCTACTGGGGTCAAACTTATTGCCCCTACTCCATCAGCTCCTTCCTAGGCTGCTCTGTCTTGTAATTTCCAAATAATAGACTAATAACTCCAGAGGAGAAGAGATGTCAGAAAAATGGGGGTAGGCCAGAAAATTGCTCTTTTTCCTTGGAGATCTTGAACAGTGTGCTGAGTAGCGATGAGCCTGGGACTGTATACTGAAAATGGAGGAAGCATTGACCTTGTCTTTCCTTAGAATGGTAACTTTGTTCACCAACACTAACTAGCTCATCTGCACTAGAATTATAAATGTACATGTTAGGTCAAAACAAACAGGTTAGAAATATATTTTGAAATACCCCATGTAGCCTCAGTGGATTGAGGTATAGATGTTGGCAAAATTACATTGGCAGAGCGCCCTGTACACACCATCGTCCCCGGCTGACATATAATGGGTAATGTGTGCATTTTCATATGATTTAATGTGGTATCCTTTTTCAAGGACTGATTTCCTACCTGTTGCTTTTGACTCATAAAGAGGAACTGTGATAATATAATGACCTCCAGCTTGCATTTTTAAATGACCATTATTGCATGTAACATGATGCTAGTGTTTCTGTCCCAAACAGTGACAGACATGGAATGACATCACCAGGTATAACAAGCTTGCTCTGTTCTTCGTAGAATGGGGAGTTAGTTGCTTGACCTCTCTGTTAGCTGTGCCCATTGTTACAAGACGTAGTCTGTCCTTGGTACACCAGTCCTTTAGTTGCCTGTTAGTTTAGTTCTATTTTCTGCTCATTTTTCCATGTCTTCTTGTAATAGAGATACTTTGTCTTTCTTGGGTAATTCTTAAAAATAAAAGCAGTAGTTAAGAGATGAAAATGTGATGGTGGGATGCCCTTTGCTTTTAAGCTATTTTAATTGTTATTGTGCAGAGTTCTGTCTTATCCTTAATGACATAACTGAGGCACCATTGAATTATGCATACTATTAAGACAGCCACAATTTAGGGAAAAAAAATAGAAAATAATGAATGCATTGTTTGCCACGTGGTAGCCAAGGTTCTAAAGATCGGAAAAAGTGAAAAGTTGTAAATGGAAATCAAGTCCCAGAAGAAATTACTTTTTTTTTTTTCTTTAAAACTTTTCATCCCCAAACAGGCTCCCTGACTGGTAGCCCTCACCTTTCAGAGCTGTCCATCAACTCACAGGGAGGGACGGCCCCCGCCAACGTGACCTTGTCTCCCAACCTGAGCCCTGACACCAAGCAGGCCTCTCCCCTGATCAGCCCACTGCTGAACGACCAGGCGTGTCCCAGGACGGACGACGAGGAGGAGGGCCGGAGAAAGGTACCCGTGTGTTTTTATTGCAGTAAAGTGAAATAACATAAAATGTACTGGTTTAAATTCGGTGGCATTCATACATTCTCAATGCCATGTCCATCTTCAAAACTTTTCCCTAACAAAGACTATCCTTATTAAATAATGATTCACCCTCTCTAGGGCCCTAGCAATCACCATTCTACCTTCTGTCTCAATGAGTTTGGTGACTCTTGGGACCTCATATGAGTGGAATCATAGGTATTTGTCTTTTGTCATTGGCTTGTTCCATTCGGCATAATGTCCTCAAGGGTCATCCATGTTGTAGCTGGTCAGAATTTCCTTCCTCTTCAAGGCGGAGTAATAGTCCCCTGTGTGTGCCACATTTAGTTTCTCCATTTGTCCGCCACGGGGCAGACGTGCCGTTCCCACCTCTTGCTGGTATGAATAGTGCCTTTCTGAACATGAACACGGGTGTGCCTGGATTTGTTGAGTCTCTGTTTCAGTTTCTTTGCGTACGTACCCAGAGGTAGGATGATGTGGAGTCCCATGGCAGGCTGTGGGGACTTCCTTTTACTTGCTATTTAAAGAGAAAGAAAACCCAATGGCCAATTGGCTCCCAAGTGCTCACTGATCGACTCCAGGGAATCCCGTCACCATATCACAAGCTGATGGCACCCTGGTCCCTTTCAATCCAGCCATCCTTGCTATTTCCACAAGTGTAGAACTCCCATTTTTTGAACAAGCATTGGCGCTGCTAGCCATGGCACCGGAAATGGACCCTAGTTTCCTTGAAAGGCTGAATGACTGACATTTTACTTATCTGATTCCTTTAGCGGATGGTAATCTTTACGTGGAAGGAAACGTTCCAACATTGACCATATTCTCAATGGAGAGATCCATTATTTTTTTCTAGTTCTTTTAAATACAAAAATAAGAGGGTGTTTAGTCTTGATGCTGGCCAACCAAAGATTATAAGTTAATAACACAGCTTTAACTAGGACTTTCTAATAATCAGGACATTCTCAGAGACTTTCACTCAAAAACCATCATTGTGTCTTGTTTCCGTTGATGGATTTTGCAGAGATTCCCAACAGACAAGGCATACTTCATCGCTAAAGAGGTGTCCACCACTGAGCGGACGTATCTGAAGGATCTTGAAGTCATCACTTCGGTATGTGCAGTATTTCCCCAACAGTATTAAATTACGTGACTTATCTAAACTAATACTCAGCTTGGAGAGAAGCTGCAGCTCATTAAACGTTAGGGTCTCTGACTTCGATTGGAGGATTTCAATTCTGAGTTATAGAAAATTAAATGCTAATAGTATATTAAATGAGGAATATTCTCCATAAAAATTTTTGTAATTGTGATTTTTAAATGTAAAGGAAAGACACTCCTGAAATAGAGAAAATTAAAATTGAACGTTTTGCTGTGTGCGTGCACCAATCTGGAACGTTTGGGGTTTGCCGATTGTCAAGCGTAACTGATTATTCTTGAGCTCAAGGGCGACCTCAGAATGAACAGGAGCCTCATTTTATCTGTGATAAAAAGTGAAGTTATGTCAGCAAAATCTGCCAGAGGCTGCCTTTCATTATGGTAATCAGTCCTGTTTAGTCCTGGAAACAAAATCTAGGCATTCCAGATGACCTTCTGACCTTTGGATTCTGGGAAAACTTCCCCGTTGGGAGGTACGTGGTACTGAGTTTGTATATCCTGAGATGCATCTTGTGTTCGGCCTCAGCAGGTGCCCCGTACACACTGTGGAATCCTGTCCCCACGTACCTCTATAACCAGAGTGACTGTGCAGGCAGCTGCTCTGTCCTCGGGTTGGCCAGCTGCACGCTCAGCATCTTGATGTAGGAACAGAGGTGGCAGCTGCTACGGGGTGACTGTCCAGGAGTAGACCGGAATGGAGGTTTTCATGCAGGCATGGCCCATTTAAGAGACTTGTCCTGGCTTCAACAGTCCTTGGGTGACAGATTTTAGAAAGCGATTATGTAGAGAAGGGCGTTCTCCGTCAGACAGGAAAGGGAAAGCATCAGGGCCCGGTCCCCTGCTGCCCCTGGCAGGCTGAACATCTGGGGGAGGCGGGAGGCCCTGGCCTCCGGACACACAGGGCCGCACAGGTGTGGCTCCTGGAGACAGGCGCCATCGTCCACCTTCTCACCTCTAACTCGTCCTTCTTTCGTTCCCAGTGGTTTCATAGCACCATGAGCACAGAGGACTCCATGCCCGAAACATTGAAAAGTCTCATATTCCCGAATTTTGAACCTTTGCACAAATTTCATACCAATTTTCTCAAGGAAATCGAGCAACGACTGGCTCTGTGGTGAGTACACTGATATTGAACGGCACCTCCGTGCCATTTGACACTGCAGCCCAGAGCAGAGGTCAAGGGCAAGAAACTGGCTTAAGACAAGTCAGCCCTAAAAAGATTAAAAAAAAAAAAAAAAAAAAGGTACTGGGGATTGAACCCAGGGGTGCTTTAACACTGAGCTACAATGCCAGCCTTTTTATTTCCAAAAAGAGTCTCACTAAGATAATTATGACCTTACTAAGTTGCTGAGGTCAGCCCCAAACTTGTGATCCTCCTGCCTTAGCCTCCCACTTCTCTGGGATATCAGGAGTGCACCATGATGCCCAGCTCCCTAACAAGATTTTTAGTTAAATTCTACACCTATTTAAATCTCATCTTCATTTTTTCTCCCCTTTGATTTATAATTCTTCAAACCGCATTTTTTTTCTTATGATAATTACCACAAAATAAAGGTAATTGCTTTTGGAGGGATGGCGGGGACTCTTAAGAGTAGAAGCCCATGGAGGCTTTGAGAGGTGTTGGCAATATTTCACTGATGCTTGCTTTGTAGTTATTTGTGAAGTACCTGTGTGTCTTATGACAGTTTTTTTGTTTAACAGCATTTTGACATCCACAAAGCTCTGTGCAACACAAACACACACACACATACACTTTTACCTTGATTTATCATAAGGATGTATTTTGCTATATAAATGAATGGACAGACATGCAGTGCATAAATAAAACACTGGAAAGTACCCAAATGTCCGTCAACAGAAGACTGGTTAAGAATGATGTTAAATCTGCCTACTAAAGACCAAATACACTCAGTACCTGAGAGATGAGAGGGAGATACAGAAACATCTGAAAAAACTCTGAATGGTGTAGAAGGAAAAATCTGAGGCACCTTTACCTAAAATAGAACCTTCTATCAAAAACAATTTCTATGGGATTTTTTAAAGCCAGGTGTAGTAGACACATGGGAAGTGGATTGCAGGAAAAAGCTAGCAAGCCCTTCTCTGCTTTGGATAGCTGTCAACCCCTTGGGGGCCATGTCCTCGCAATGGGTGAGAATCTGGTTGAAAGTGGCCTTGGGGACACTTAATGACTATGGGGCCTGCAGGGCCCTGTCTGGGGTGGTCTGGCGTCAGGTGACCCCCGACTGTGGCCTTCAAGTCTCACTTCACAGAGCTGCTCTCCTGCTCTGTGAGGCGGGTGTGAGTGTCTGATCCCCTCAGAGGAGCCCAACTTTGAACCTTTTTTTATACCTGGAGGATAATTTGTGTGCACTTTTCCATCCTTTGCAAGAACAAGGAGGAAGCATTTTACTCAGAGGCCCTGCGGGGGGTGGCGGGAGGAGCACAGAATTGAGAAGTCACAGGTACGACAAAGTCAGCTCACTGAAATTGGGAAAAAGCAGAGATATCACTTCAAGAATCTTGTGCATGTAAAAGAAACACCACTTTTCAAAAATTAAAAAAAAAAAAAATCTACAAAATTGAACTTCCCAAACTTTACCTGGAACTTTCACATTCTGCTATGTTGCTTCGTCACTGGACAAAGGTGAATGACGCTCTTGTAAGGGGTCAGAGACCTTTCCATTGCTGTCTTCTGGCCAGACGTGTATCAGTACAGACCTTCCGGACACTGAGGCAGAGTCACGTGTGGCAGTTGGTTTGAATCATGTTGTAGAGGTCACATGTAGGAAATGCCAGTAGGTGGTCCCCTGACATCCTACCACAGTGGCTTCGGCAGGCTCCTACGTTAATGGGCACAGCCAGAGAACGTTGAAGCATTGCCTGACACATGGCATTTTAGGAACAAATGCCGTGTTAGTGGGTCTGTGACTATAAATCTTTAGCATCTGGCGCTTGCCTGCAAAAGAACATCCAGTTGCTTAAACAGTAGCTAATGTCATTTGATTTCCAAAGGGTCTTCCTGAATGGTCTTCCAAGGGGCCATACTTCTACCTGTGTTCTACCTGAAGACACCAGAAGCACGGGACAGACTCAGAACTAGTCAATGTGTAGCTCAGTTGACATGACCTTCATTGACCTTGCAATAGCAGGCCAAACCAAATAGCCGATGCTCCTCAGGGGTGAATGTAAAGCTCAGCAATCAGGGTCAGCTGGTCGATTTCTCAAGTGCATGATGAGGGAGGCCAGGCTTGGCAGGGACTGGGAGGGAAAAGGCAGGGTGTGCGTGAGCTCGGGGGAAGCCCCTGACCCTCCACACTTGTAGGATGGAGGCTACTTGTTAAAGTTACCCGGAACCTTAAAAAACCTCCACCAGGCAGAACCCAGACCAATGACATCAGGCTCTCTGGAGGGTAGAACTGAGCAGATCTTTTCTGCAGCTTCCCAGGTGATTCTCATGTGTACAGAACCTTTGCCCTGGACCCATTATAAAGAGCCCAGAGCATGAAAAACAATTCGTCCCTTCAGACTTCAGGCCCAAAGCTCGTGCGGATGCTACCCCATCTCTGAGGTTCACGTTTGAAATAGGATAAGGAGGTTGCATTCCTCTTTAAAAAAGAAGGAAAAGAGAGGAAGAAGGGTAATTTGGCCTAGTGTAGAGAAGACTTCAGAAAACCCAACACCCTTCAAACACCTGCAGGCTGGTCCTGAGTGAGGAGTAAGTGTCATTTTGTACCAGGGAACAGAACAGAAATAAAGGAGTGAAATTTCAAAGAAGCACCTTATGTCTGTAAACAGGAAAGGGCTCCTGGGGCTGTGGCAGCGAGCGCCGCCGTCTGGGGTCCTCCTGCAGAGGGCACTGTGCCTTTCCAGAGGTGTTTATTAAATGAAACCTCAGACCCAGGAGGGCATCCAGGTCATAGGGGGCCGAGGGGTTGAGAAATGCAGATTGCCTGGCCATGCTCAGCCCTCCAGAAGCAGTACTTTGAGGGTGAGACCCAGAAATTTGTGTTTTAAAGTACTCCTTGGGGTAGTTAAGATGAATATCTTTTTTGGAAGAATTGACCCTGCAATTCCTCCAGCTAATTTTAGAGTCTGTGGTTCTTTGGTTTGCATTTCACAGACTGGGTATAAGTCTTGTTTCTTTATTCTATAAGCCTGAAGGAACAGATGAATGAATAAATGAATGAGTGGGTTAGTGCTGTGGTTTAAACATGGTTAGTGTCCCTCAAAGTTCCATATGTGGCAGACATAGTCTCCAGGGTGGTACTTTCGGGAGGTGCCATGGACCTTTCTCTCTCTGCTTCCTGACTTAAAATGTGGCACTTGCTCCGACAAGCACTCCCGTCCACTATCCACCAAAAAGAGGCCAAGGTCAGACCTTCTGATCTTGAACATGAACCTCCCAAACTATGAATAAACCCTTTCTTCATAATTAGCCTGTCTCAGGTATTTTGTTACAGGAATGTGAAGCTAACTAATAAGGAAGGTGAGTGTGTGTCTGGATTTGCCCATAGGGACTTGAACTCTTAGAGCAGGAGGCAGGCACAGAGACAAGAGGGTGTGGCTTCTTGTAGATGAGGGGCTACGTCTGGGTTAGACACAAAGCACTTCTGCCAGTTTGGCCTTGGAGGACACGTGGGCTCTTAATGCCTACACAGGACAGGCCACCACAGCTGAATATGGCCAGTGAGAAGAACTACTCACAGCAAGTTTCTTAAGGAAGGAGTTCACCCTGAGTCGCTGATTGGCAAGCTGTGCGTGGGCACCTGTGTGTGATTTCCTGTGTGTCTTGTGTGTATGCAGGTGTATGTCTAGACTTTCGTGTTGTGGTGGTATGGGGACATGGCTTGGCTCACCCCAGATGCAATGACTAGGACTTAGGCTCAGTCCACCTCAGGCCTGTGTGCAGCTGTCCATGGGCCTGGCAGAGCCTCATTTCCTCATCTGTAAAATGTGGCAGGGCTGTTTCGCCAACTCAACAGGACAGTGTTTGGGAAGGCTTGGCAGGCTGCCCCCTCCCCACATGGAGAGGGAGGAAGCTGGCCGTTTTAAAATACACTTTTGTAAATTTTGAAATAATTTTAAACTGGGGAAAGTCGCCAAGATGGTAGAGATTCTGTCCACTCCTCGCACCGTCACCCTGGCAGATCCAGTGGAAGGGAGGAGCCAGTTTGTGCATCACTATTAGCTAAACTCTAGGTCTTATTCAGGGATGAGATTTTTCAGTGGTTCCTGTTAGTGGAAATGCATCTGGAACGCACCCTGCACCAGGAATCCCCCAGAACCAGACACATAAACGATATGGTTGATACAGTCATCACACGTGTCCCTTCAGTCCTCTGGGAGGCTGTAGTTTGCCTCCATCCGCAGCCGGGGAGTGTAGGGGGAACAAGATCAGGGAGCTTTCCAGCGTGATCAGGCCCAACCCCGGTTTGGTAAACACACCTGCCCTCTCCAAATGTCACCTTCTGCTGGGTAAACACACCTGAGCAGGGAGCGTGGATGCTCAAAGCCTGCTGCATGCTGGCAAAGGCCAGCTTCCCCATTTCTTCAGAAACAAGGAAAGCTGGTTTGGTGAGTTCTGAAAACCGGAAGAGAGGCTTTTCCTTTTGAAAGCAAAGAGCCATTTACTCAGCTGCCCCACTGCCTCGGAGAAGGCCACTTACCACCAACCTCGGGCATTCTGGGCAGACTTCAGACTCCATCCCTGGGGTGACGGGCAGACGTTGGGCACAGGCTGGCCAGGTGGTGACCCAAGGTAGACTGAGGCCTGCTGTGGTCCAGAGTGCTTTGGTCATCTCCACAGTGTGCAGGTCTTCACCACCGGTCATAAGGCACTAGGGACAGTGGACAGTCATACGGAGGCACTTGGAATAGGCTGTGGGGCACACAGAGTTTTCAGGGTGGAATCAACCACACACAAGCTGGGCCAGGCGCACTGGGGAAGTGCTGCAGAGCTCTATCCAGGAGGCCAGACAGCCTGGACGGTGGTGCCATGTCCCTGAGCAGTAGGACTCAGACAAAGGGAAGGCAAGGGACGATCACCTTCAACTGTGGCTAACTGGGACGGTGCTCATGAAATTAAGAGGGAGACTCAGGAAGCAGAGAAGAAGC